ACAAACAATGCTGCCATGAACATAGTTGAGCATATACTTTTGTTGTATGATAGGGCCTCTCTTGGGTATATTCCCAAGAGTAGTATTGCTGGATCCAGGGGTAGGTTAATCCTGAATTTCCTGAGAAACCGAAACACTGCTTTCCAGAGTGGTTGCACAAGTTTGCATTCCCACCAGCAATGGGTGAGTGTACCCCTTTCTCCACAACCTCTCCAGCAAAGGCTATCATTGGTGTTTTTTATTTTAGCCATTCTGACAGGTGTAAGGTGGTATCTTAAAGTTGTCTTGATTTGCATTTCCCTGATCGCTAAGGAAGTTGAGCACGACCTTAAGTGTCTTTTGGCCATTTGAAGTTCTTCTGTTGAGAATTCTCTGTTCAGTTCAGTGCCCCATTTTATAATTGGGTTGATTAGTTTTTTACAGCCTAGTTTCTTGAGTTCTTTATATATTTTGGAGATCAAACCTTTGTCAGTTGCGGGGTTGGTGAAGATCTTCTCCCAGTCAGTGGGTTGCCTTTTTGCCTTAGTGACAGTGTCCTTTGCTTTACAGAAGCTTCGCAGCCTCAGGAAGTCCCATTTATTCAATGTTGCCCTTAGTGTCTGTGCTGCTGGGGTTATACGTAGGAAGTGGTCTCCTGTGCCCATGTGCTGTAGAGTACTTCCCACTTTATCTTCTATCAGGTTCAGTATGTTCGGACTGATATTGAGGTCTTTAATCCATTTGGACTTGAGTTTTGTGCATGGTAATAGATATGGATCTATTTTCATTCTTCTACAGATTGACATCCAGTTTTGCCAGCACCATTTGTTGAAGATGCTCTCTTTTTGCCATTGTATACTTGTAGCTCCATTATCGAAAATCAGGTGTTCATAGGCTTGTGGGTTAATGTCAGGGTCTTCTATTCGATTCCATTGGTCGACTTCTCTGTTTTTATGCCAATACCAAGCTGTTTTCAATACTGTAGCTCTGTAATAGAGTTTGAAGTCAGGGATGGTAATGCCTCCAGATAATCCTTTATTGTATAAGATTGTTTTGGCTATCCTGGGTTTTTTGTTTTTCCATATAAAGTTGATTATTGTCTTCTCCAGATCTGTGAAGAATTTTGATGGGATTTTGATGGGGATTGCATTGAATCTATAGATTGCTTTTGGTAGAATTGCCATTTTTACTATGTTGATCCTCCCAATCCAAGAGCAAGGGAGGTCTTTCCATTTTCTGGTGTCTTCTTCAATTTCTTTCTTCAATGACTTATAGTTCTTGTCAAGTAGATCTTTCACTTCCTTTGTCAGAGTTACCCCAAGATATTTTATGCTATTTGTGGCTATCGTGAAAGGTGATGCTTCTCTGATTTCCCTCTCTGCTTCCTTATCCTTAGTGTATAGGAAGGCAACTGATTTTTTGGAGTTGATCTTGTATCCTGCCACATTACTAAAGGTGTTTATCAGCTGTAGGAGTTCTTTGGTAGAATTTTTGGGGTCGCTTATGTACACTATCATATCATCTTCAAATAACGAAAGCTTAACTTCTTCCTTTCCAATAAGAATCCCCTTGATCTCCTTATGTTGTCTTATTGCTATTGCTAGAATTTCAAGCACTATGTTGAAGAGGTATGGAGAGAGTGGACATCCTTGTCGTGTTCCTGATTTTAGTGGGATGGCGTTGAGTTTTTCTCTGTTTAATTTAATGTTAGCTATTGGCTTGCTGTAAATAGCTTTTGTTATATTTAGGTAGGACCCTTGTATCCCTATTCTCTCCAAGACCGTTATCATAAAGGGGTGTTGAATTTTGTTGAATGCTTTTTCAGCATCTAATGAAATGATCATATGGTTTTTTTCTTTCAGTTTATTTATATGGTGGATTATATTGATAGATTTGCGTATGTTGAACCAGCCCTGCATCTCTGGGATGAAGCCTACTTGATCATAATGGATAATTTTTCTTATGTGTTCTTGGATTCGGTTTGCCAGTATTTTATTGAGAATTTTTGCGTCGATGTTCATGAGTGAGATAGGTCTGTAATTCTCTTTCTTGGTTGGGTCTTTGTGTGGTTTTGGTATCAGGGTAACTGTAGCTTCATAAAAGGAATTTGGCAATGACTCTTCTGTTTCTATATTGTGAAATACATTAAGGAGTATAGGTATTAGTTCTTCTTGGAAGTTCTGGTAGAATTCTGCATTGAAACCATCTGGTCCTGGGCTTTTTTTCGAAGGGATATTTTTGATAACCATTTTTAATTCTTCGCGAGTAACCGGTCTATTTAGATCATTCACCTGGTCTTGGTTTAGCTTTGGTATATGGTACTTATTTTAAAAAAATGTCCATTTCTTTTGTATTTTCCAGTTTTGTGGCATACAGGCATTTGTAGTATGATCTAATGATTCTCTGAATTTCCTCTGTGTCTGTGGTTATGTCCCCCTTTTCATTTCTGATCTTATTTATTTGCATGTTCTCTCTCTGTCGTTTAATTAGTTTGGATAGGGGTTTGTCGATCTTGTTGATTTTCTCCAAGAACCAGCTTTTTGTTTCATTGATTCTTTGGACTGTTTTCTGTGTTTCTATTTTGTTGATTTCAGCCCTCAGTTTGATTATTTCCAGTCTTCTACTTCTCCTGGGCGCGTCTGCTTCTTTTTTTTCTAGAGCTTTCAGGTGTGTTTTTAAGTCCCCAATGTATGCATTCTCCGTTTTCTTTTAGTGGGCACTTAGTGCTATGAACTTTCCTCTTAGCACTGCTTTCATTGTGTCCCATAGGTTTGAGTATGTTGTCCCTTTATTTTCATTAAATTCAAGGAAGACTTTAATTTCTTTCTTGATTTCTTCCTTGACCCAGGTGTGTTTCAGTAGTTGACTGTTCAGTTTCCATGAGTTTGTCGGTTTTTGGGGGGCAGCGTGGTTGTTGCCTTCTAACTTTAATCCGTGATGATCTGATAAGACACAGGTGGACACTGATATTTTTTTGTATCTGTGGAGGTTTCCTTTGTTTCCGAGTATGTGTTCAGTTTTTGAGAAGGTTCCATGAGCTGCAGAGAAGAAGGTATATTCTTTCCTATTTGGGTGGAATGTTCTATAGATGTCTGTTAAGTCCATTTGCTTCATTACCTCCAATAATTCTCTTAATTCTCTATTAGGTTTCTGTCTGATTGACCTGTCCCTTGGAGAGAGAGGTGTGTTGAAATCTCCTACTACTAGTGTGTGTGGTTTGATGTCTGCCTTGAGTTCTAGTAATATTTCTTTTACATAAGTAGGTGCTTTTATATTGGGGGCGTATATATTCAGGATTGAGACGTCCTCCTGATGAATTGTTCCTGTTATGAGTATAAAGTGACCGTCTCGGTCTCTTCTGATTGATTTTAGTTTGAAGTCAATTTTGTTAGATATTAGTATGGCCACACCTGCTTGTTTCTTAGGACCATTTGCTTGAAACACCTTTTCCCAACCCTTTACTCTGAGTAGGTGCCTGTCTTTGTGGTTGAGATGTGTTTCTTGCAAACAGCAGAATGTTAGATCCTGTTTTCATATCCAATCTTTTAGCCTGTGCCTTTTTATAGGTTAATTGAGCCCATTAATATTAAGTGATATTAATGACCAGTGGTTGTTTACTCCAGTTATTCTTATTGCTTTTGGTAGTAGAGATTGTGTGTCTCCCTTCTTTGAGATGTGCTCGTGAAGGGTCATTAGATGCCTGGGTTATTGTAGGCAGTGTTGGCAGTGTTGGATTCCTTGGGTTGCGATTTTCCTTCTCTTACTTTCTGTAGGGCTGGATTTGTGGCTACGTATTGTTTAAATTTGTTCTTATCCTGGAATGTCTTGTTTTCTCCATTGATAATGAACGATAACTTGGCTGGGTATAGTAGTTTGGGTTTGCATCCATGGTCTCTTAGCTTCTGCAGAACCTCTATCCAGGACCTTCTGGCTTTCATAGTTTCCATAGAGAAGTCAGGTGTAAGTCTGATCGGTTTACCTTTATAAGTTACTTGGCCTTTTTCCTTTGCAGCTCTTAATATTCTTTCGTTAACCTGTATATTTTGTGTTTTGATTATTATATGGCGAGGAGATGTTTTTCTTTGATCCAGTCTGTTTGGTGTTCTGTATGCTTCTTGAATATTTAAATGAATATCTTTCTTTAAGTTGGGAAAGTTTTCTTCCATAATTTTGTTGAAAATATTTTCTGGGCCTTTGAGCCTTCTTCTATTCCTATTATTCTTAGGTTTGTTTTTTTTATTGTGTCCCATAATTCCTGAATGTTTTGTGTTGAGAATTTGTTGGCTTTGCTGTTTTCTTTGATCTGTTCATTTATTATCTCTATGGTTTCCTCAGCATCTGAGATTCTTTCTTCTAGCTCTTGTATTCTATTGATTATGCTTGTTTCTGTAGACTCTGCTCGTTGGCCTAGATTTTCCATATCCAGCTGGTCCTCAGTTTGTATTTTCTTCCTTGCCTTCATTTCAGTTTTCAATTCTTGAACTGTTTCGATTACCTGTTTGATCGTTTTTTCTTGGTTTCCCAGGGTATCATGTACATATTTACTCATTTCTTCAAACTTTTTGTTATACTTCTCATCCATTTTTATAAGGGCATTTTTTACATGTTGTTTAAGGGACTCTATTGTCTTCATAAAGTCAATTTTTTCCACTTCTTCTGTGTTAGGTTGTTCAAATACTTCTGTTGTAAGATCATTGTGTTCTGGTGTTTTCATGTTGTTTTTCAGATTATTGGGTGAATTCTTGCCTTGGCGCCTGCCCATCTCCTCCTATTGATTCTATCCAATGGGTCCTTTAAAAACCGGATCAGGTTTCCCTGCTGGCCAAGGGCTCTGCTTACAAAATGCCCTCACTCTCTTTGTTGGTTCCTGCTGCAGGCCATGAACCCTCTCACCCCTCCGAAGGATCTTCAGGACAGGACCAGGATCCCCGTGTGCCAGTGGTCTGGCCAACCAAAGGCCTACCTCTTTGATTCAATTGTAGTAGGGCGATCTGCTCTCCTTATTGCACGCCTGTCCCCGCCGCTTGGGTCTGCCGCTGCGCCGGTCCTTGAAAGCCTCTTTCTGTATGCGGTGTCGCTCCGCTGCGTCTGGCCGCCGCGGCTCTGCCGCATCTGGCTGAGCCGCTGCTCCGCCTCTGTGTGTCTGTCTTTATCCATTTTTCAATCAGTAGAGAGTTTATCAGTTTCCACGAGTTAGTAAGCTTTCTATTGCTTCTGTTATTGCTGATATCCATCTTTAGTCTGTAGTGATCCAACTGGATGCAGGGATTTATTTTAGTTTTTCTATATCTATTGAGATTTTCTTTGTGTCTGAGTATGTGGTCAATTTTAGACAAAGTTCCATGAAGTACTGAGAAGAAGGTCTATTCTGTGTATTTTGGTGAAATATTCTATAAATATCTATTAGACCCATTTAGTTTATAATGTCTGTTAGCTCCAGTATTTCTTTTTAGTTTTTGTCTGATGACCTGTCAATTGGTCAGAGAGGGGTATTAAAGTCTCCTACTATTAATATGTGAGAGTCACTATGTGATTTATGTTGTAATAATGTTTCTTTGACAAATTGGGGCATCAACATTAACAACTGAAATTTTTTTTATTTAATTTTCCTTTTGATGTGTATATAGTGTTCTTACCTATCTCTTTGGATTAGTTTTGGTTTAAAGCTTATAGTTGGAAATTAAAATGATTATCACAACTTGTTTTGAGGGCAAAAAGCACACAAGAAAGTGGAATGTGTCACTTCCTGTCTTGGGCATCCATCTTTGGAAGTCTCGCCCTGTGCCAGCCAAACCTTGCCCATACATTGGAGGAGGGTCAAGGCAGCCCACCAAAAACTTGGCCACTCTCCCAGTCTATTTAAACTGTTCCCCAGAAAAGTTCCCTCATAGTCTCTTCTCTTTCTGCCCCCCTCCCACGGTCACATTCACGGGTTCCCAGTTTTCCTTGGGGCCACCAGAGAGCACAGGAATCCCATTAAACCTGGACCTCCTTTAATTTGGCTTGTTGTGATTTGGCTTGATTGTATTTTTGTGTCAGCAGAGAGCTTGCATTAGAAAAAAATACCTAACATCTGGAGGTCCCACCGATATAAGCGGCCTTTCCGCATGGCCTATGTCCACATGTCGAAAGCACACTAGTCCACAATCTGAGCTATCTACACCATGCTAAAACCAGCTCCTGGACTACAGTGCCCGTGTCTTTGTGAGTCCCTTTTCTTGTCTATGCAATAGAGTTTTGGGGGACCCATTTGTATTTCCTTTTGTTGATTATCGGACTCTTGTTGAAGCCATGGGCCTGAGCCAAGAGTCCCATCTCAGCGGCTAGGATGGGCCTAGATGAGGTGGATTTTGTTTGCTTTAGGGAAGCCTAGCATTCAATTTCCATGGCCCCATTTAGGCCTAAGGGTATTTTGGCAGATGAGCAGTAATAGACTTAAGCCACGTAGTCAGGCATAGATTTTAAAATGGGCACTTGCAGTTTAAGCCAGATCTGCTGACACCTCTGGGATGACTCTAACAAAACCTTTATAAATTGGGACTGTCCAATACAATCTGCCCCTATGTACTAAGATTTGGCCTCAATACTATGTTGACAAGGGGACACAATGGCCACCAGAAGGAAGCCTTGAGCTTACTGACCTCTGGGACCTAAAAAAATTTTATTGCCATAGGGACAAATGGGCACAGCTTACATATGTCCATGATTTTTGGGTTTTGTGCTCTCATCCTTCCCTCCTTTAAAACTTTTGCCAGTTTTTAAAAATTGGTTACAAAGACTATAGTCCAGTATACCAGGCTAGATCCAGGCTCCCCAGTGTGAGCCATGGTCTTGGATACCCATTTTATTTTTCAGTAAGCACCACATATTAGACAAACATTTTAAAAAGGCTGAGGAGGTTCCCCAAACCCCTATACAGAAATTGGTGAAAATGACCTTTAAAGCTTTTAATGCCCGAGAAGAAACAGCTGAGTCTTCCCGACAGATGAGCCTACAAAAAGCAGTTAATCTGCAAGCTCAGACCTTAGCAGTTGTCCTAAGGCCACAGGAAGGGGGACAAGGGAAGCTAACCACAAGGCTCTACCCTTATGGAACCCAGCCTAAGTCAACCTCACAGGCAGGCTGTTACAAGTGTGGCCTAAATGGCCATGTGGCATGATATTGCACTAAGCCTTCTACGAGGCTATGCCCTAACTGCCAGTAACCTAGACACTGGAAATCACAATGCCCCAGTGTGGGCTTGTCTTCTGTGCCATGCCATGAAGGTCCAGCCTCACCAACATTGACAATTGAAACTGTGCTGCCTTCAAACTTCTCAGCCTTGCAGAGTGTTGATGCTGCCCAGACTTGGTATATCCCATAACCCTATCTGATCCTAAGGCAAAGCTGCAGGTAGCAGGTAAGTCTATAACTTTCTTTTGGTCATAGGATCTACCTATTCTGTTCTATTCTGTTCTATCTTACTCAGGCCTTATCCTCTCCCCACCAATTTCAGTTATGAGGGTAGATGGGACCGTTCATCCTCACTTAAAATTTTGCCACTGCCCTGCATTCTTGCAGAACAATTTTTCTCTCATTTTTTTTCTCAGTGATGCCTGCTTTCCCAGCACCTTACTGGGTCAAGATATCCTTAGCTAACTCCTAGGTCTCTCAAACTTCAATGGACAGGACGTCACACACCTCCTTTCTTACCTCCCGGACCAAGAAACAGATGCCTGGCTTCTCCAGGATGACAGTATACAGAATGCTTTTCCAGCTACATTTCTTGCTGAGCATGGACCCACCAAACACCCAGCTCTTCCTTTCCCCACATTGCCACATGCTTGCAGGAAGAAGCACGAATTGAGTCAACACCCCTTTTTCCAAAGAGAGCCTAAATGTTAGTAAAATATCACCTCAGCTTCCTGTCACCGCTTATAGTAACAGTTTAGAATGTAAATCCCGGCATTGGGCTTCCATCTTTGGAAGCCCCACGCCTGTGCCCGCCAAACCTTACCCCTCCCCAGAATAGTGTCAAGGCAGCCCACCAAGCTTTGATCCCTCCCCGGGGGGTGTGTTAAATTTGTCCACCAACACCTTGACCACCTCCCCGGGAGGACTTCCCAGTTTTCCTTGGGGCCACCAGAGAGTGCAAGAATCCCTTTAAACCTGGACCTTCTTTAATTTGGCTTGTTGTGATTTGGTTTGATTGGGATATTTGTGTGAGCAGAAAGCGCACATTAGGAAAAACTCCTAATATTGAAAAACATTCCTAACAGAATGGAGCTAAATTCTGCATTCAAAGAGATAAACAGATTAAGAAATGGAATAAAGGGTATGGTGGTTTCAGGACAACATCCCACCCACCTAAGTTTTCACCTTGTGAAAAGGAAAAAAGAAAAGCTTACAGTTGGGTATGGTGGGATACAACTTTAATCCTATCACTGGAAGCCTAAAGAAAGCCACTGAGGCCTGGAATGTGTCAGGGGTGTAACTGAGTGGTGGCCTAGTGGAGAGGCCATTGTGTGAAGCTATGAGGTTAAAGCCTAAATTGTCTTGGAGAACTCATGATGTCAACGATGCCAAAGTAATGGGATACCTGTCAAGGAGAGCTGCTGACACGGAGTGGAACCAGCCCAAGAAAAAGCTGAACAGATTTGGAGATCTGAAGACTGTTTTGACAACAGACATGGAGATGGAGAGTTTGGAGCTGCCTTGCTGATTTCACTTGCTCTGATAGAGTATTCCCTTCCCTATGTTTTTATGTACCATTATACATTGGAAGCATGTGATCTGCTTTTTTATTTTGGTTTTTACAGATTTTTATAGTTAAAAGATTGCATGAGCCTTAAAAATGCTTTGAACATTGAATTTTAAAACATCGTTGAGACGGTGTACTTTTTCAAAATCTGTGGGGTCTTTTGAATTTGGACTAAATGAATTTTGCACTATGGTATGGTTTTGGGGGGCAGGGAGTGAAATTTGAATGTAATTGCCCACCAGAATTCCAAGGAGTCTGGCAATATTAAGAGATGTAGCACTGTTGAGGGAGTATGGTCTTGTTGGAGGAAGTGTGTGGCTGTGGGGCAGGCTTTGAGATCCCTTTTACTTGAGCGTTGTTCAGTGTCAGTTGACTTCCTGTTGTCTACAAGATGTAGGACTCTCAGCTACTACTCCAGTACCACATCTGCCTGCTTACAGTTTTAGAGTTTCAGTTCATTTTCATCATTGTGGGCATGGTGGATGCAGGCAGATGTGGTACTGGAGTTAGTGTTCCTATTGATGTGAAGAGATACCATGACAAATCTTATAAAGTATAACATTTAGTTGTGGTGGTTTGCTTACAGTTTCAGTTTGATAAACATGGTTTATTTTCTATTACACTAAGATAGGTCTAGGAATGGTGGGGCAAATTTATGGTCATCAGGCCCAAGTTATTCCATTGTCTGTTTTTTTTTTTTCCTCAATTAGTAGCTTGCATTCTCAGCATAATCCATGGATGAAGTAACTCTGAGACCTCCAGTTTTCACACCAGTACTGCAGTTTCACAGATACACTAGAAAGCAAAAGAAAATCCTTCCCTTTCAATAAAGGGCTGTTCTGAAAATGTCATACATATCATTTGCAAGGACACATGGTCAGGATCAGATCCAAGGGAAACTGAAAGAAGCTATTAGCTGTGTCTATCTTTGCATATGGACTTATATTATTGAGCAATGTGTTAGTTACTTTATGCTACAACTGTCCTACCTGATAAGCAAACACAGGAACTTTATGGCAATGACTGTTCATTTGTCAGGGTTAGTACGGATCATCATGTCTGATGATTTTGATTGAGTTTGCTCAAGAATCTGAGGGAAAGCTCACTCTTGGATCCTTGAGCTGACCCAACAGAGAGAGGAAAGACTTGACTGACATGGGTCAGCTATGTTCTCTTCTCATCCTCCAGCAGCTAGGTCATCCATAGTCCCACTGAATGAAAAGGAGAAACACTCAGGACCTTTTGAGACCCAAACTCAAAACTGAAAAACTGCCATTAATGTATCTTTTTTTAATTAATTTATTTATTAAAGATTTCTGTCTCTTTCCCACCACCGCCTCCCATTTCCCTCCCCCTCCCCCAATCAAAGCCCCCTCCCTCGTCAGCCCAAAGAGCTATCAGGGTTCCCTGCCCTGTG